TGTATAAGAGACAGATATATATATATATATATAAATTACCACCTTTGGAAAAAAAAATCGCTACAATCATCGAGTTTATGGCGAATATAAAAGTCCGATTATATATACAATTTATCTTGTTTCAAATTCAAGACATTGTAAAAATTAATTCTCTTGTATCGCATTCATGATTGCTCCCTCTCTTTTTCTTTTCTTCTTCTCACCTCTCTCCTCTTACTGCATTTCACACATGCATATCACATGTGTTGTGCATAAATATATATCATACTTACTCATTGACAGAATAGTGATGAGAATAAACAATGCCATTATAACATCCATTTTTCTCTAATTGTCTTGATGTATCGATCAACGATAGACGAGAACACGCGCGATTTACACGAGTCTATTCCATCTTCGAGGATTTTGGCTACCGAATAACGATTTGTCCTCACGTTGCGTTTGCCCACACGCGCGTCTTTCTTGAAGGACTTGTCTCTTCCGCGATCTTCCCTAAGGCTATATAGCCTTCTCCCCACTCTAGCGACTTTCGATCACATCTAGCAGCGAACCAACGTGAGAGGAAGAGACTAAAGACATTTTCATCTTTCTCCCTGCCTCCTGAAAATCGGATAGAATCCTGCTGCGAGGGTTTCATGCTTTGTAGATTTATACAGCGCTTTGACTCAATGGTATAACAATGCCCCACTGCAGAGTCCTGCCTAAAACTAGCGTCAAAATAAATCAAACTCCTGGCAATATCTCTGTTAAACTACGTTGATTTCTACCATGTAGAACGTCTTGACAACAGGTTATCCTGGCTGAAAAAAAAATACGAGGGTTGAAATATTTATGTGGTATAATATATATATATATATATATATATATATATATAAATTTGTAAACATAATTACTTGATTAAAGTGAGTTTTGATACAAGAGCAGATGATATAATATGAACATAAAAACTCATCTTGATCGAATCTTTAATTCTGCCGGAAGAATCCAAAGAAATAAAAATAACAGAAAAATTTAAAAATATTTCTTTTATCTTGATTCATATATTTATGCTAAATCTAAAGATTACATGCAGTGAAAAATGAAATAAAGACGTCAAACATATATTCATAATCTCACCATTTTTCTTTATCACAGTTAGAGACGAATGAGAAATTCGCCAAATAAATTGTTTCAGTTTATTTGACTAATTTGATAGGCATTATTACAGTCTTTGATAGCTGATAGTAGATGTCAATAGCACGTACGCGCGCACACTGTGGCGAGAGAGCCATGGCTCGTTACAGCTCGTTAATAAAAAGAGAAACGCGGCCGCGGCGGCCAGATATACGACAGGTGCATGCAGGTACGATATAACGTATGCATCGTGCGAATATGGGGGATGATCGTGACTCGTGTCAGAGAGAAGATGCTTCTCTCTGATCGTGTAGAGATATCCGCGCAATCCGGCTGAAATTAAACAATTGAAACAGAGGTGATCAAAAGAACTACTAGTGCAGTGATAACACTACTGAAATGTAGTAGTGTCACTGCTATAACAGTAGTGCCACTACTACATTTCAGTAGTGTTTTTACTGCACTAATAGTTCTTTTGATCACCTCTGTTTCAATTGTTTAATTAATTATTTATCGTTATTATTAATATAATATTATATGCCGCATTTAGTCTCGTGTCTCTGCCAATGGACCGCGCAAATGGATGTGCGCGTCCAGGAGGTATAGTAACTAGTAGTTCGAATTCGGTCGCGACACCAGGCGACATCCAGGCGACACTGCTTCACACACACCAACACACACTGCCGTCTGCCGCTGGCGCGACGATCATGCGTGCAGCGCGCGACACGTGCTCGGTTCTCTTTTATAAAGAGTCAACACGTTAAGCGATATAGATTACGAAAAAAATCTTTACATGTTACGACAATGGCAAAACTCAGTTCGTACTACACGCTGTGCCCACTCATTGACCAGCAGAGTTTACTCGGCGTCGAGAAGGACAAGGAACCAGGCTGTGCGGTAGTGACTCTCGGTAGAAACATAGTCATACGATATAAGGTTAGAGATAATACTCTTGACTCTTAAACACCGTGTGTTATTAAATATATTTTATAAATGTGGCTTTTATCGCGCTTCACGCTTCAACATGTCTATATGTATTTCCAGTTGCAAGATCTAAAGCAGATTAGGAGTTGGTCCAGTAAAGAAAGGTTGACGACCCAAGTTATCTACGATAGATTCAAGCAGCGTTATGCTGCTGCCTTTAACGAAAGAAAGATCCGGGTTTGGTCGGAAGAGGAGACAGATTTGAACAACGTGAAGGGATACAAGTTTTCGTCCCCACTTTACGCTATTCTGCCATATGGAGATTTGTCGCCCATTCTTGTCCAGCAAAACGGAGCCACGGCTTCTCTCGATTGGGCTATCGACAACAGGAAGACATGGATAAGCAAGGGTGTAATTAAGGCTAAAGAGAAATTGTTGGATTGTCAGCTAATACATTTAAATGGAAAGACGAGTTTGTTTTGCTTGACGAGAATCGAAGAGGTTTATAACTATGTAGTAGTTGGATTGGAGGACGATACCTGTTTGGAGAAAGCGGATACTATCAGGAGGATAGAATTGAAACGAAAGTCAGAGGATCTTACGGGACATGTGGTGATACACCACAAAAACGATGCGTATCTGTTGACTTTATGTACGTTGCATTGCCACAAAAATGACAAATCACTTTTTTCTCTTTTTTTTTTTTTTTTTTTTAAGACACGCGTGATCGATATCGTGTTATCGTTTCAGGGTCACACGGCAGATTGTACAGTCACTTGTTGACGGCAGGGGTGTCTTCCGATATGGAATCCTCCAACAGGCTGGTGAATGTAATTACAAATATCAATACAAAATATCCCGTTGTCATGACGCACCTGAACGAGACGACTGTAGCGATTTATGGTGCTGATGTCGCGGACGAAGGGGCGATACTCATGATATACAATGTACAATTCAAATCGGCGCAAGCGGTACAGAAGCTAAAACTTTATACTAACGACGCCAAACTCTGGAAGGTGGAGGATAAATTATTGCTCGCGGCAAACAGACATTTGGCCGTCGCGCCCTACCACCTCGCGCCGCAAAGGATAGCTGCCATATTGGGCTCGTCTTTACGCTTCAAGAACGACAATGATGGCAACGATGCAGACGATATTGTTGTAATACAGGAAGCGACAGTGGCTCAATGGGATAAGAACCGAACGTGCGCGAGAAACGCATCGATAGGTCGGATACCTTTGAATATCTCGAAAAAGATTTGCTCCTATTTGAACGAGGGATGGAGCGATGCCGCGATACAAGAAACATTGATCCCATTATTGATGGAATCTGGCGATGTCGCATCAATCTGTTGGTGCCTCGATACGTTTAAAGATTTACCAGACAAGTTATTGGTGGACCTTTTAGCGTTTATCTTGAAAAGTTCAGACAAAGTGTTCGTTCCTCTGCAAAACGGCACAACCGAAAATACACTGAAGGCCAGTAATCAGCCTTATCTAAGGGACAATTTTCTCGATAAAGTGTTTAGTATCAGTTATTCCAGTGTTTCCTTGTTACCTCACCTGAAAACCGGTTTAACTTTCGACCAAGTACTCAAATTGTTGGAATATTTAATGTGCAAATTGAACGAGGAAACGGACTCGCTTGACGATCATTCGCAGCCGAACGACCAGCAGTTGTACGAATGGTTCTGTGTGCTTCTCGATTCGCACTATCAACATTATTTATTATCGCAAGACACGCATGTTTTGGAGCTTTTCAATCGGCTGCATTCTATCCTAGAGGAACATGTAAGTGTGTGAAAAGGTGACTCGCTCAATTTCTTATTGTCTTTTATTGCCAATTATCTTTTTTTTCTCTCTCTCTCTCTCTTTCCTTTCTCCCAGTTTCAGTTTCTGCAAACTCTTGTCAACTTGAGGCCTATGATAGACAGGACCAATAATGGAAAACCACTACGATCCTCTTCGAGAAAACATAATAAGTTCTACTCTATAGAGGAAATAAAACTTTATTAAATTAATAAGTGAATGAAAAACACACGTCTAGCTTCATAGCTATGTATTTATACGTTACTTTTATGCAAAAGATGAATTGGATTAGATAGATGAAAATTATCAACATTTTATATGTTTTCCCGTTCCCTTCCGTATTCTGTCGCACTGCAAAGGCTAGAGAACTAAAAGTAAATCAATTCAATCATACAAACCACGTACAGCACGATATTTTCTTTTATTATTAATATCGCAAATATAGATTCTACACTCTGATAAACGTGTGTATACCTCGCTGAACTAGACAAAAAATATTTAAAAGACACGAAGATTCACACAGTAAATGATACTGCCTAGATTTTTATTAGTGTGTATCTATTTCAATTCATCGACATATGGAACGGTGCATAAATTGCCGATTGCAGCCATGGACAATTTTCCGCCAGCAAGTTTCCCAGCGACCTAAAAATCACGGTCACACTTTTAATTATGTTTACCATGTAACTTTTTTGTGTACATAAAAATTAAACGTTTCATAATATTGTGAAAGAGTAGAGACGTCTGAGCCTCAAGAGAGAAAGAGAAAAGGTGTGTACAATATCGCTGATAAAATGGAAATCTGCGTACCGATTTGACTTCAGATGCAGTTATTTTGTCTACTTCTGCAACTAGATCAGCCGGTTTATACGCGCGTCCTTTGAAAATCACTTGGTGTCTCATATTTTCTAACAATGCGGTGTCATTATCCGCGGCATATAATATCTCCGCTTTTAACGTAGTCTTACCGCGCGCGATATCAGCATCGGAAAGCTTGGGCGATCTAAGATACGCAGTAGCAGCTTTTGTTACCTACAAAGCAAGATATTGTGGCGTGACATTTCTGTTCTGGACAGAATTATTATCAATTAGATATTTATTAAATTTTATTAAATGACAAAACACTTACGGAACCGGCAACGCTAGGTACAGAGGATAGAACAAAGCCAAACAGTCCGGAATCGCTGTAAGAAGCATTAAATGCCGAAAGGGCAAATTGATCGGTGTTGGTCGCACTGGAGACTGCTTTGTGTAGTGGAGACACACTCGAGCCCCATTTTACACGAGGACCAGAACCAATTGCTCTCTGCAACACGGCGTAAGCGACAACGTCCTTCTCCTTGTTTAAACCCGCTGCCTCAACGGCTACCGCTACAGTAGACAATTCGGAGGAACGCTCCTTGCGAAGTTCCCCTCCGTGATACTTGGCAGCTTCCACAGTATTATCTCCCGAACCTACTTGCAGATTTGAAGCAAATTTTGTCGCGTCCGACAGCGATACGCCCGTTGCTACGATTGCGCATTTCGAACCGGTAAACCAAGTATTGACAAAATGTTGCAACTGCACAGAGAGAGAGAGAGAGAGGAAAAAGTAAATTTCTCTCCTTTGCCTAATATGTTATTAGTGGACGACTGCTATACCGTGTACGTACAGTCTCTGTGCCGATTTTTCCAAGCTGTCTCTTTGGCGAGTATAGAGAATAACCTAGTCCAGTATGATAAGCTGCTTTATGCAACAATTCCATTATACGAGTTGTCTCGGGTATCATGGACAATTCATAGCGTAATCTGGGTAACTGATCAGATAGTTCCCATGGTTTGAACACTTGCTGCGTGGTGACATCCTCTAGGAAAGTCAAAGCTTTGTCTCTGTTGCAACACAAATGTATTTTTTAATTACTTGATCTCAAATAAATATAAATATATATATATATATATATATATATATATATATATATATATGTACAGATCTATAAATAAAGATACAATAACTTACAAGTTATTTCTTGTAATTTGTAATGTATATGCAATGCTTTCACGATCAGTGGTAGCAGTTAAATTTCCACCAAGTTGCTGGATATTCCTAGTTATTCCAAAGCAAGTTGACCTGCAAGTGCTCAGACCAGCAGCGATTCGAATATGATGCATTGTGCCTTGCGTATCGTATGCCTCATTCCGCGAGCCAGCTCTAGATACAAAAGTATTAAAATGAGAGAGGAATTATTTTATATATATCATCCTTCAACAACATTATTTATTGACTTACAATATCTATTGTTATTTTTTCATACCTGAAGATGATTGATAATTGAGCAACAGGATTATTGTTATCAAGTGCAGCAACTGTCACCTTATTGCTCGACAATACTTGAAGCTCAGGGATCGCAACATTGGAACATTGAACAGCTGCAGCAGCTGCATAATGCCTTACCTAAGGCAAGTATAAGGTTTTATATAATTGTAATTGCGCGCGCTCTTTTTTAGTTTTTATTTTATATACCAGGACTGCATTTGGTTTGGCACTTACAGCGCTTGTGAGCATCATTTGTCCTTGTTTAACGTATTTAATAAACGAGAATGAAGCGAAGTACTATGAAGTGCTGTAAGTGCCAAAGCAAACGCAGCCCAAAGAAAAAATGACATATGGGTTATATGAGTAAACTGAACATTGCAAACACGCCCAATCATAGAAATATATTCAAATCGAAATATGGAATTTCAATTTTGTCGAGATGACAGATCTGCAGACATCGTTTTTTGTGACACACGCCATCCCAAAATTATTCGAATTAACATTTAAAAAGTTACCGAGATAAACACGTATCATTTTCCAATGATTTACATAACACTTGTGTTACAGACAAAATCAATGGCGAGCGATCAAAATGTTCGTCTAATAAAATGCATGCACAATCGTCTTTATAGCTGAGATTTGCTATACCGTAGAATTACGAAGAATACAGGGCGATCGTACAGCGGAACAAGCCATTTCCCGTGCTTTCTGTAAAAGCGAAGAGCAAAAACAGACCAAACCAGGCGGGAGTGGACGCGAGTGGAGCAGTAGACGTCAATCACGGCGCCATTACGGCCATTAGCTAGTTTAGTGTCGGTCCACAATAAGCGGCTTTTAAGCCTTACCGTGAGATATTGATTAATTATAGTATTATACAATCAATTATTTTTCTCATATTCGACTACGATTGGTCTATTTATATGCTTAAGGCTTAAAATCCTTATTGTGGATCGACGCCTTGGCGGCACGCATGAAAGTCACATGCTGAAACATCACTCTACCAATCGGAATCTTGGAAATCTGTTCGATGATGGCACGGTAAAATATAAAATTTGTCCGATTTTCGGTAAACTAAAAATTATTTAAAAAATGATAAAAACGTTATAAGATTTGTAAATACTGCAGATAATTAATATAAAAATTTTGTAAGTTTAGATTTAGGTTAACTCTTAAGTCTCTCCGTTAAATTGTATACATATACATGCATATGCAGGTTTAAGTCGTCGCTAAATGGTTAATGGGGTCTCCACTAATTGATCGGTATACATATTTACATCACACTCTGCAATTTCCTCCGGGCCCACCGCGGGGCTCGCCGGACTGCCACGAAAATTTGTCCAGGGCTGCGATGGTCTTTAAGTCAGTAGCTGTATCTACTGTCGGTAGGTATCTCGTCGGTGCTTTACGTAAATATGTATGGTTCGAGTCCTCGCTAATGAGGGTTCGAAGTTTAGGTTAGGGTCGAGATTCGAGCATTGATATTTGATTGAGTATCTATCAAATGCGTGTGGTATGTGTCGCACGGGTCGCAACTCGGCAACTCGCAACTGAACTCGCACCATCGCCGGAGGCATCGGAATCGGATATTTCGGAAAGCGATATCCACGTAATAGCGATTGATGGCAAATAAGTTACAAGTTGAAGAATCCAAATATATATATCCAAGTATTGTATAAGTAAAAAACGAGAGAGAGAGACGCGATGATGAATATAATAATAAATAATTGCAAACAAACGACGAAGATAGCCGCCAATTTATTGAAGAACGATGGTAATTTTTCAAGAAATTACGCCACTACTATAGCCGATTACAAAATCACTTGGGTACGACCAAAGAAAGTCTCGAATCTGTCATCTGAAAAGTCTGGTGATCAAGGATTAAAAATCGATGTTAAATCATCTGATTTTGGCAAAATGTACAACGAGTTACCTGAACTGACAAAGTAAGTACTAACATTTTTAATTACTTGGACAAATAGTTCATTTTAATACCTTGAACATGCTATTTATAATAGTATATAATATTTTTTTCAGTGCCAGTGATATTGTTAAAAAGATGTTTACGTTACAATTTCTACCACGCAAAGAAACAATTAATGTCAGAACAGACAAGGTTTTAGAATTGGTCAAAAGACACAGATTAGATCGAAAATCACCAGAAGCATTGAGTAAAGTTTACCTCCATTACATAGATTCATAGGATTTATAGGTGCCATGCGGTCCACTTGATGCTACAAATGCTTCCAAACATTTCATTGATTGAAAGCATCAAAGAAAGCATTTCTACTTAAGTAGTACCTAACCTAACCAATAGAAAAATGTTTTCAAGCATTTGCAGTATTAAGTGTTGCAGACCTACGTAGCCTACAGGCTGTAGAATAATAGGATGTCTTAACGTTATTACATTTGCCACACTTTTACTTTTCAGTTGCCATTATGACTAGTGACATACATCAGTTGCAAGAACATTTAGTGGAATATCCCAAGAATGTGGAAGTAAAAGTTAAATTGCTAGAAACAATTGCAAAGCGAAAGAAATTGCTCAAGTTGTTGCGACAATGCGATTATAGACGATTTGAATGGATCTTGGAGAAACTTAATCTCGTTTATACACCGACACCCGAGTGAGATATATTTATATTTTATATTTTATATGTATATAATCCCCTCTTATATTACGCTGAAATTTTATAAATCTGATTATTTTTTGTAAACGCTTTTTAGATTACCACATCAGATTACCAGGAAAGATTCTTTAAGACGATTAACAGAAAAGCATTGCGACAAACTTGTGCACGAAAAATTGAATACTTACAAAAAAGAATTGAAAGAGTTGCAAAAAGAGTTTTATATAGAAAAGGCAGAGAAGCTTGCATTTATCAGAGAGGAGGAACTAGCCTGTGGATTACAACCATCAGTAAGCGAAGAAGATATCGCATGCGCTAAGCAAAAAGCAAGGGAACATGAAACGTAATAGTGATGTACGTATTTTGTAATTTAAAATATACAATACAAGAAGAAATACGAAAGTTTACGTTATTATTAGTGTTTTTTTTTTCACGCTTTATTTTGTCAATTCCATAATCTAATTATTCGCGTACATCCTGTAGTTTTCCTGTTACTTAATATGTATGATAACTCATTTGCACTCTGTAATAATCAGTTAGCTGAAAAACTGGTTATTACCAGAGCATCAGACAGCATTGTTTAGTTCATCAGCAGCATCGATGATCGAGATATTATTAAAAATGGCCTGACCAACTGCCAGTCAAAGGCAGGCAGTTTGTGACTGTCAAATGATTCGATTTTTCAATCGATACATCACATATCGTAATTAATTATGTATTTGCAAAAAACAAGCAAACAATCCAATTCAGTTTCCATTCCATTGAAAGATGAAGACATGATCGATTTAACATTTTTTAAGTAACTAGTACATAACAGGCGCGCGCTTTGCTGCGTATTGAATCCCGTACATCTTCCAATAACATTTATACCAATTTACAGTTTAATTAAACAAATATTAACAATTTTTGATAAAAAATACATTTTCAAAAAAAATGACGCTTTGCGCGCGGTGCGTATTAAACTCCATACATCATCCAATAACATTTATACCAAATTACATTTTAATTTAACAAATTTTAACAATTTTCAATAAAATGACGTTTTAATCGGCCATTTTTAAATAAAATCACGATTTTTTAGAAAATAGCCACATAATTCACCTTTAAGATAAGCCCAGAAAGAAGTCGATATTTTTATTTTTCTGAAAGATATGAATTTTTAAACATTGGGGAAAAGAAGCTTCAATGCAAATAACATAGCATATTGATTTTAAGATAATTTTTTTATTGAAAATTTTTCATATCAGTTGATGTTTAAACTAAAATTTTTTTAATATTTTTATATCATTTGATTTTTAAAATAAAATTTTTTTTTGAAAATTTTTATATATCA